CCTTTTGAAACTGCTCTGGAAGAGGCAGTCTGCTTTCTAGATTGAATACAACAGCCAGAATAGTAGCATCTAAAGTAAATGTTGAGGTATTAATGATCTGCTTTGGGCATTTTGCTCAGGTTTTTTTACATCTCGATTTGCTTTTTCAAACCATGAGAGCAGCTTGAGCCTTTCTGTATCTGTGGCAAGGAGGGAGGACTTCACTCTTGTAACAGCATTTTGCAAGTAAAAAGTTAGTTATTATGTAGGACAAATAATAATTTGTTATGTAAGGCTATAACAACTTTAAAATTGACTGGTGAGTCATCTCACGTAAAACTCTGTTGAGGACCACAACTTAGTTTTTGATCTGGCGGCTGGTTGATTTCTGAAGTTATATTTTTCTCAGTTGTTTGACTTGGAAAGCTAACCTTACCTTTCTTTATTATTAGTGGCTACATTGACCTGTTTTTATTTCATCTCTAGAGAGTTATTTTTTGTAGTAAGGAGGCTGTAATCCCTGACAGGGATTATCTGGCAAACTATAAGCATCTGCTCTCAGTTTGTTTCCTCAGCAGACAGGGCTGATTAAATAAACCTTGTGACTATAAAGGTGTGCTGGTTATTGGAAGGAAGAGCTGTAAACATTAGTGCAGATGGTCTAATGAGTTTGAAGTTTGAGAATAAATTTGGCAAACAGTTCAGTTTCGTTGTTCCATAACACTGAATTGATTCCTTGTATATAAACAAAATAATTTCTTCCCCTATATAGGAAGGGATAGAGAAAATGCAGTGATAGCGTTGGCTTCTCTGCTTCCCATGGTAACAGATGGTTTTTGCTGTCCATGCCCAAGTTGCAGATCCCATGAACTGAGGGTTTTTTGAATGTGAATGTGGTGAACAAGAAGGTTGGAAGTCCCCAGAGGCCTAAAACCTGAAAACAGAGCTATTGTGAGTAATATGTCTAAATTTGGTCTCATGTTGTCCACACTCAAGCACACAGCAAAACCTCAGGTGATTCAGCCCAGAAGCAGACCACACATACAGAGCTGTGATACATCAACCGTTTAGATAGAGAAATGTTAAAAAAATCTCCTCATCCATATACTCTCTGAGACATTTTCCAGTGTAGGATTCTGCTCAAAAGTGCTAGACCCTCCGACTGAAATCAAAGCTTAATTGCTCAATTCTGGTTTCAAGTTGTTGACAGTTAATCATTTAATGGCCTGGCCAAGAGATGTCATCATGTGCCACTTGGTGGGCATGTGTCTGCATTATTTACAAGGTTCACACATTTTCAACAGATGAGAGCATTGTATCCCTCTTTTATGTCACGGTACAATGACACTGTTGACACATTTATAGCTATTAAGCTCTTGGGGGTAGGTGAAGTTACAGAGCCATTCAACAGTCCACTTTTATTCAGCAAACCAGAGAAGGGAAGATTCAATTTTCAAACTTGCTGATGCAGAACATGCTGCATGTGCATGTGACCTGCACATGCAGGTGACCTGTAAGGGTACAAACACACAAATAGTGATGTGGTCAGATTGGTGCTGCTAATGAACAGGATGGCATTAGGTGCTGGCAGGGCATCATGCTCAGTAGGAGTGCTGTCTGCACCAATTTTCAGAGGAAGAAAAGTGGTTAATGTAGTCCAGTGTTGCTAAGGTGAAATAACAGAAGTAAAAATCATAGAATCATAGAGTGGTCTGGCTTGGAAGAGACCTTAAAGATCATCTGCACCCTCAAGGAGTTTGCAGGTAAGCTGAACAGTGGATTTAACACAACAGAAGGAAAGGATGCCATTCAGGGGGACCTGGACAAGCTTGAGAAGTGGGCCCATGCAAACCCCATGAAGTCCAACAAGTCCAAGGTGCTGCACCTGGGGCAGTCCCAATTTAGACATGAGCCAACAGTGCTCGCTCATAGCCCAGAAAGCCAACTGCATCCTGGGCTACATCGAATGAAGTGTGACCAGCAGGTCAAGGGAGGTGATTCTGCTCCTCTACTCTGCTCTTGTGAGACCCTGCCTGGAGTACTGTGTCCAGGTCTGGAGTTCTTAGCATAAAAAAGACATGGACCTGCTGGGGCAGGTCCAGGGGAGGGCCATGAAGGTGATCAGAGGGCTGGAGCAGAGGAAAAGCTGAGAGAGCTGGGGTCGTTCAGCCTGGAGAAAAGGCTCTAGGGAGAACTCATTGTGGCCTTCCAGTATTTAAAGGAGGCTTAAAAAAAGAGAGAGCAACTATTTACATGGGCATGTAGTGATAGGACAAGGAGGGGGGATGGTTTTAAACACCGCATCTCTCTGCCAGGTGGCTCTCACACTCCCTTCTGAGGCAGGGACACTGAGGAAGAAAAAAAGGTAAGTAAAACAGCAAAGCAAGAGATGGAAGGGATCACTGCCCTGATCTCAGAGGTGTACTCAAGGGAAGAGCTTGGGAAAACCTGCCTTTTCTCAAAGTGCTGGTTATACATTTAAGAACTGGTGTATAGTTGTGATTATGCGCCTGTGTTCGTGCTCATGGACAGAAGTGGTTATAATCCAGTTCCCTGGTTTTCTCCCTTCTCTGCCACATGAGCATCTTCATCACTGTGCTTCAGAACTGTGCTACCTCTGCAGATTGGTGGGATGATGTGAAGTCACAAGACTCAATGTGAGAGAAGGGGCTATAGCCATGTATTATGGGAGACAGCTGAACCTCAGGCCCCCTAGGCCTTGTGACTACTCTACCTGTTGGAATCTGTCAGAAAACAAGGCACTTGTTGTATTTAGAAACCTTCAGGAATAGAGAGCAGCTAAACAGGGGTTTGCTGATCCAAACATGTGCGCTTCATTCTGACAATGCACCATTCATCACCTATGTCTTTTCAAGATCTCCATCCTTCTGCCCAATATTAAAGAGCGAGAGAAGAATATTTATGAGTAAACTGCAGGCATAAGCGTACTGAAAGATTGTGAAATTATAGACGTCAGAATAACAAACAAAATCACTTGACACGTCACGCCCTCTGAGTTAGGGATAAAGCAGTTACCTAAGTGATTCCTTTCCCACCAATGCAAGAACAACATTAATCATGTCTAACCATACAAATTTAGCTTGTATAGATACATTCTGGCTCCTCTCCAGTTACTGAAAAGCTTAACTATATTATAGCCCCATTTTGATTATCTGTTGCTTGGGGAATCAGCTTCAGGCTTCCTGAAGGTACAAAAGAAGCGTGAACAAACACTGGCAGGCACTGGCAGGCACCATCTTTATTCTGAAAGCACTTTAAGAACCATGATGGAGATCTCCATCTCTATTGGATGTATCCTTTCTCCTGGAGCAGGTGTCTTCTCCAGCTGCTGCCTCTGCTCCAGACAGCTCTGTGCTAATCCTGGGGTGAGGAGATGGTATCATTTCTGACAAGTCCACAACAAAAGCCATTGACTTGGGAAGAAGAGTCCCTGCTTGTGTGCTTGCAGGAGGGGCAGTAAGCTGTTAGAGACCCATGTTTATGGAAGTAGGCATAGGTTTTGGTAGGCAGTGTGGCATTAAAGGAGTTAATAATAATCAAGGCAAAGATTAATATCTAATCATAGCAACTCCAGGCAGTTTAATTTGCTTCTCTTGGCCTAGTGACAGAGTGAAACTGCCAGCTGGAGCTGTGTGAAGCCTGCTCCACCCAAATTGGAGTGGTTTCAGCCAGAAAGCACCTTTCAATCTGCCCATCCTGCCTTCCCACATGCACAGAAAGCAGAAATCATGTACAGGTCTCCAGCTCCTCATTTCCAACTCCTAAGCTCCTCTGCACTGAGGGAATTACCCATGATTTTATCCTTGGTGGAAGTTGACATCTCCTCAAATTTGCTAGGCACGTTCACAGCTGAAGAAAAGGTAAAGTGGCTCAATGACTTGAGATTAGTCTCTGCCTCCTTTTGTTGGAGCCATACTCACAGCACACTGCCTCGCCCCATACAGGAAGGAGAACAGGATCAAAGCGATTAATACAAAGAGTTGCAACTCTGGACTGAAATACTGTTTCCTCATCTCACTTTTCTGTCAGCTACACTCCAGGGCCCTAACTCTGGAGTTAGACTACACTCAGGAAAGGAACAGGGTAGCCTGGATTTGGCACTGGGGATTAATTTTGTACCCGCACATCTCTTTGGAAAAGACTTAGAGAAATGTATTCACTATAGCAGCTTTCTTTCAAAGGGAATTCGCTATCACCCCTCCACACTGCCTAGGTTGTAATAAAGGAGCTGATCTACACCATACCACAGCAGTGGTAAAAGTAGGAAGGTACCTGTATGTTGCATTAGCAGCAACAACAGTGGTTGAACCCACAGGGGAAATTCCAGTAGACTGCATGAAGCCACCCAGAGTGGAATTTGGCAAAAAAACTAGATTATTTCCTTTGCCTTAAAATGGTGACCCTAAGGGCTTACATGATAATATGTAATTTTATCCCTAATATGGTTAAATCAGTCATTCACCAAATTAATTTGAATTACTTTTCCCCATGCAAGGCTTTGTCTACTTTAGGACAGTGTCCTTGCCAGACTTAATTCTAATGATTCTGTTTGTTAGAGAAATAATTACTTCAGGTTCCCAGCTCAGAGTCCTCGACATTATTTCTCATGCAAAAACTCAAAGAATATTTATGAGCAAATTGCAGGTATAAATATACTGAAGGGTTGTGAACTTATGTGATACTGGCAAGCCCATCGCAGTGAGGCACTCAGGTGGTGAGCTGCTTTTTGAAGGTGTCACAGACTGCAGCAAGTGCCACTTTCACCTTTTGCTGAAATAGTTACTCAATTCTGACTGACACCATGGGGAAATTTGCCATGCAAAATGACATGCTTTTTTTGGTGTGAGATCATAGAAACATAGAGTGGTGTGGGTTGGAAGGGATCTGAATGATCATCTAGTTCCAACCCCCCCATCATAGGTAGGGACACCTTCCACCAGACCAGGTTGCTTAGAGCCCCATCCAACCTGGCCTTGAACACTTCCAGGGATGGGGCATCCACAGCTTCTCTAGACAACCTGTGCCAGTGCCTCATCACCCTCACAGTAAAGAATTTCTTCCTTATATCTAATCTAAACCTACCCTCTTTCAGTTTGAAGCCATTCCCCCTTGTCCTGTCACTACAGGCCCTTGTAAAAAGTCTCTCTCCAGCTCTCTTGTAGGTCCCCTTTAGGTACCGGAAAGCTGCTACAAGGTCTCTCCAGAGCCTTCTCTTTCTTCTCCAGGCTGAACAACTCTAACTCTCTCACCCTGTCATCATAGGAAAGGGGCTTCAGCCCTCTGATCGTCTTTGTGGCCCTTGTCTGAACTCACTTCAACAGGTCCATGCCCTTCTTATGTTGGGGATCCCAGAGCTGAATGCAGTACTCCAAGTGGGGTCTCATGAGAGCAGAGTAAAGGGACAGAATCACCTCCCTTGACCTGCTGGCCATGCTGCTTTTGCAGTGATTGGCTTTCTGGACTGCAAGTGCATGTTGCCAGGTCACATCAAGCTTTTCATCCTCCCACACCCCCACGTCCTCCTCAGGGCTGCTCTTAATCCATTCTTCCCCCATCATGTACTTGTTCTTGGGATTGCCCTGAGCCATGTGTGGGACCTTGCACTTGGTGTTGTTGAACATCAAGCCTGTAAGGTACCTCTGGAATTATGTTGTTTCATGCCTGTTTCTTTTTAGGTGATAAAGACATGGTGCTTCTTTTAAAAGACCAAGATCCCAGGGACTAAAAAAATCAGGAGTGACTGCACAGAAAAATTAGAAAATCATAGTGTCATTAAGGTTGGAAAAAACCTCTAAGATCACTGAGTACAACCCAGCACTGACAAGTCCACCACTCAACCATGTCTCTAAGCACCACATCTACCCATTTTTTGAACACTTCCAGAGACAGTGACTGCAGCACTTCCCTGTGTAGCCGGTTCCAACGCTTGACTACCCTTTCAATGAAGAAATTTTTCCTAAATGCCTGAGCTGACCAGGTGTCTTCGAGACTAAACCATGCCATAATGTAGAGGTGGCAAATTTTGTTCTGTCCCAAGACCAACAAGAGTCTGACTGTTGCCTTTGGCCAGTGTCATGACAGTCAGCAAACCTTTACTTTCAGACACAAGAGAGCTGCAGTGCAGAAAGGAAGGCTGGCCTGGGAAAGGGCTTGTGAGAAAATGCTGCAGTGGCCCCGGGAAAGAAGCACAGTAGAAGGAGAGGGAGAAGGGGAGAGCGAGAGGGAAGAAGGGAGGGGAAGAGGAGAGGGAGGGGGAGTGTCTGCGTACCTCTGCCACGAGGACGAAGCAGCACTTTACTACAAGCAGCCAGTGTAGAGTGAAACTGCTTCCCCAGGTGCTGCTGCACGCCCACCGGGATTCCCCACCTCTTCCCACCGGGACTGTCTCCCAATCCCGCGCGCCCCCTGGCGGCGCCCGGCGGCGCAGGAGCCGCGGGGGCGGAGCGGAACCGGCACCGGCGCCGGGCCCGGCGCTCCCCGAGGCCCGCAGGGATGGGCAGGGCGGGGTAGGGATGGGCCGCGATGGGCAGGGCTGGGCCTCGCCGGGCGGGCGAGTCTGAGACGCAAGGGAAAGGCAGAACAAAGGCTGACAGATACCTTTCCGCTTTGGGCAATCGGTCCTTTGAGAACTCGTCCCGGGCTAGGGCTTTCCCACGGCCGTAGGGGAGCGGGCAGAGTTTTTCGCTTCTCTGTGAGGTGTTAAACGGCACGAGGAGACCGGCCGGGAGGCCCCTGCCGCAGAGCCAACCCGCAGGTCCTGTGGCCGGGGGAAAGGAGCTCCCTTGCCTGCGGCACGATGGGCGTGGGCGGAGCCGCCCTCCTAGCATCCACAGGGCTCCTGGGCGACTGCCGGCAAGCCCAGCTTCACCTTCTTCATCTGCCTAAAAGAAGGAATTAGCAGCAGCGAGGCAACACCTTAGGTTGCCTTCTTGCCTCATGCAGCTTGGAAACTGCCTTTTCTGATTGCCACACACCACTTATATGAAACCTGGGACAGGCTCCCAGAAATACCTTGGATTTAAATCTAGGTCTTCCCCAGATGGGGACAGACAGATGGATTGGTGACCTCTGCCTAAGATGAGGAAGATGTCGTAGGCTGGCTGCATGGGAAGAGTTCCACCTGATCGAAGAAAACCCAGCAAGCCCACTGCAGCTGAACCTTGTCCTCAGAGGAGCGGTGGGCTATGACCCCTCCTGCTGCTTTGCAGCATATCTTTTTTCGGGTGCTGAGCACACATACACACACACACACACATCTGTGGAGTCAGCTCCCAGCCAGCCCTATAATACTCCAAAGCTCGGTGACACCAAATAGCACAAAAATAAAAGAATTCATCAGGAAGGCCCTGAACCCTTCCTTCTTACTGGAAATCCTGATACAAAGATCATACTGTATCAATATTACATTCTTAGTAGGATGTTCTCAGCTCAGCGTGATTTGTAACTATTTCTTCACTGGTTTGCTTTTTCTTAGTCATCTATTTTGCCTAAAAGTTTTGTAAGCAGATTATGCACAACTTTGTGAGTATACAGTGATAACCTAGTGACTAAAATACACAGAAGATTGCTAGGGCTAATGTGCTACTGGACTGTATTTTGGGATGAAAACTTGTGATGTGTCCCTGTTGGCCTGGCAACTCTCAGTGCCAAGGGAACTTAGCAGCCTCCATTAGACCTTGGAACAGGCTGATTCTTGGTCTTATTGAGCCATTTTGATTCTCTACTTTATTTCTTAGGGATTTATACTGCTTCAAATTGCCACTTGTCACTTAAGTCCTCTTGTTAGGAGTTAATCTTGCCTGAACACCTTTACTCCTGTCTTTGCTTTTACTTATCTTATGTGGTACAACTTTATCTTCAGTATCCCCCACAGCTTATTTACCCCACAGCTCCTCACTAAAGTTGCACCAAGGTCATGCAAGCTTGCCTTGCAAACTTGGGCCTTGGCTTGCAGGCAGCTGAATCCCTGGGCTGTGAGGTTATAGGGGGCAGAAGCATGCCTGGCCTGTGAGTGTGTGAGCTCAAACGAGGAGCTCAGGAGGACCAGCCCACTGCAGGAATAATATTCACACTCAGTCACAAAGCCTAACAGTGAAATAAAGTGATTCCAGTTCTCCTATGTTAATAACATGTGCCTGAAAGGGCTTGCCTTCATGATGTGGCTGTCACCTGCTAAAAAAGGATTTGACTCATTTGAATGCATTTCGTACTAAAATGCTGATTTGTTTCTGTCGACAGATTGCCACACAAAGTAGAGCAAGCTCCGTTGGTATGAGAATACAAACATAGATGCTAAAGGTTATACTGTTTAATTTTATTATTGACACTTTATTGGCTGTAATGCATGTTCCTGGTTAAAGCAAACAGCATTAAGAGACGTAGCTGGGAGTCTTGCCTCCTTTCACACATAGCTACAGCTATATGGGGCCCCTAAATAGCTCATACAGCACATAGGCAATGTCTAACTGGGGGACCTATGGATGGGCCTAAGTGATCAAAACATCCTTTTCTTTTCTTCTGCTGCAATAAACCCGTTTCCCGCATTTCCATCCTCTGCATGGTCCATGGGTGAATGTTTCCTGAGTGCAGGGGAGAGTGATTGGTGTGTGTGGTTGGTACCTGTCCCACATCAGGGACCAGCTGACATCCTCTTGGAAGGTGAAGTGATAAGATGTGGAAAACTAGTTGAATTTTATTACCTTGTGTTAGTAATTTAACAGGAATTAGAAGCTGCTACTCAGACTTACCAGCAAGCTTTTCTAGTATTCAGCTGGTGATATGAATTAGATTATTGTTAGACATTTCTGCAGTTTCTACTGCAATTCCTTTTTATTATTTCATTATTTGATTATTAGCTACATTGTAAGTATTCCCACACAACCTGTTTAGGATGCGTGAAGCAAGTGATATGAAATAAAACTGTTACATATTTGTGTTCTGTTACATATTTCTGTTTTCATGCATTTCTTTAAGACTCCTGAATCAGCTTTTCTCTGAAATGCTAATGGAAATGCTAAAATAGCCTGGGACTTTTTTTAGAAAATAAGTAACAAAATATTTTATTTAGGAAATGTGCTAGTTATGTGTAAAAGGAAAGGATAAAAAGTACACCAAGATGTTAAGTGTTTAAGGTATGGGATTTTTATAGATATGTAATCACATAAACACTGAATTAATGCAAGGAGCAATAGAACTGTTGCCATTTCTGTCAGGTATTACCCCATCTAGTAGCGCTGAGTGCTCAGTGCCCAGACCTTACCGTGGCTCCTTTTTAGAAAGCCTACCAATAGCAACAAGTTGAGATGGCCAAGTAACTAAGAGGACCAAGACCTCAAGGGTAATTCTATGTGATGTACAAGGAGGAAGGGAATTTTCTTACTTGTGCACCCTCGTTCTCTTGGTCTCTTGTCAGCACTGTTCTCTTTTGAAAACTAAACAAAAATTAACCACTAGATGGCTGTATTCAGTAACAAAAGGCTGCACATATCTCCTTTTTCTGCTATAACCTGTATTAAAGATGCAGTATTATTTTTATAAGTTCAATTAGCGTTTTCATGGTCAAATTTATGTGGACAGGCCAAAGAGGCAGGACAACCCACCCTGGTAAGGTTATTGGCTATGTTAGCATTCTTGGTTAGTTTGTGTATTAGTAGTTGGGCTACTACCCCAGATAAGAAGGAATGTAGGATGCAGTGCCATGCAGAGTTTTGTGTCATAGCTATTCACAAAACCAGCTTGAGCAGGACAGCTTGGTCAGCATGGATCCTGAACATGTAGGTCCTGAGCTGTCCTCTAGTGCTAGACAGAGCCTACTTCTAACAGAGGCCAAGGATGATATTTCCTGCCAGGACCATGGGGAGACACCCCTGATTCAGTCTGAGATGCCGCTAGAAGTCCCAGATATGGGGCCCTGGTCAGTCGATGGCTGTGCCAGCCATACTTCTGGGTGGCAGAGGAAGGGTAAGGCAAAAGTAGGACACCTCTGCCGCTTCCCACAAAGGAGAAGTCCTTGGATGCCAAAAGAAAGCTATGGTGGTTAATCTTGGCTAACAGCCTAATGCCCACCCAGCTGCTCACTCCCTCCTCGCTGTCCTCCTTCTCTTGTAGGACACAGGGAGAAAAGAGGATGAGAAAGATCATAGGCCAGGATAAAGACAGGGACATTGCTTGCCAATTGCTGTTATGGGCAACACAGGCTCCTTGGGGGAAATCAGTGCAATTTATTGCCAATTAAAATAGATTTGGGAAAAGAAGAACATTAAAGCAACACCCTTCCTTCCCACTTTTCCAGGTTCAACCTAATTCCTTCAATCCAGACTCTTCTACCCACTCCAAGTGGTACAGGGTGGCATGGGTGGATATGGTGAGTATGTAGTGATTTCTCTCTGCTAATCCTTCCTCCTCACACTTTCTCTGCTCCACTGTGAATTGCCCATGAACTGCAGTTGCTGTTAGGAAAAATCTGCTTTGATGTGGGCTTTCTACAATCTGAAGTCCTTCAGGAATATTCATCTGCTCCAATGTGGGTCCCTCATGGGCTGCTGGCCAGCTGCATGGCCTCCCATATGGAGCATCTCTTCCTCCTTTCTCTGACCTTGATGTTCCCTCTGCTGCTTTTCCCTCAGTCTCTCCTCCCACTAGAAATCATGGAAAAGAAATACCTAGCGTGTCTACTTGGCTTTGAGTGTTCTTTGAATTATCAATTTTGAAGGGCCTGCCCTTGGGTGCACTGGAAAGGGCTTCTGGCATTTCTACTGCCATGGGAACAGCCTGGGCACATCAGGACTTTCTTCAATGCCTCTGAGTGGGTGTGCAGAAATGCTAATCTGCCAGCCCTAGGCCCTTATGAAAGCCTGGCAAAGTCATGACACACAGAGCCGGAGCTCCAAGCATCATGCCAACAGGAGCTAGCTGTGGAGCTTGTAGGAAGCATGGTCCAGGCCAATGGGAAGGTTCTCTGC